CCTGGCCGGAATCGAACCCAGGACCCTTCAGTCCGAGGGCTGACGCTCCAACCACTGAGCCAAGCCGACTAGGGACAGGCTTTAATGTTTTAAATGCATAATCTGCAACCACAGGTTCTGCAAGAGAAATCTGACATAGCAAAGAGAATATTCCAGCACTTGGGAATCCCACTAGGCCTCTATCAGCTATGTTTTAGATCAAGGTGACTTACTCACTTCTGACCTTTTAATGGTAAGAAATTTACCATCAAAGACCTCCTTCAGATACCAAAATTATGTCTTTCTTATCATTGAGTTCTTCTATAATTTTACCATTTTTCATCAGTTATTGAAATACCCACAAGCTACAGGAATTTCTGTCTTTTCCTATTTGTTCCTTCTCCGGCCACAAACTGTTTTTGAGGACATTTGTCTATAAGTTGTTTTAAAGTCATTTTGTTAAGGGCTACAACCCAGATGTCACCACCTTTGCCACCTTCTCCACCTAAATGAGGATAACCCATTCCACCGCTTCCTGCCCCGATGAAGAGTCGTAGGTTATCAATGCAGTTCCCATAATTCACATATACCGTACTGCACGTCTAAACAGCAGGCAGGTACCCCGGCTCTTCATCCCACGTGCACACAATTCCCCAGAAGAATCTTAAATCCTGTCCCCCAAACAACCATACTAACCATACCAAGTAGACATATTCTTCTTACCTCTCGGAGCTGGCCCCCGACTTCTGAAGGGCCAGACACAAGACTGTGGTAGGAAAAAAAAGCAGGAAAGAAGCCCCAAAAAGAAAGTGGGGAGGAGGGGAAGGAGCACCAAAGCTCTCAGGTGGGCTAGAGGCACCTAGCCCTCAGGAACCGGGGGGGTCAACCATCACCAACCTTTCTGAACAACACACAACTGCTATGCACCATGACTGTGATGGGCCAGGATTCACTCCCTCGAAAGGTATAGACACTTAGTACATCCACTTTAAAAAACCTGGCAGAATTTTATATCTCATGATACAACAATGTCACTCCTATTATTAGTATATCCCCAGCAGAAATGCATATATACATAACCAAAAGACACACGCAAGAATGTCCACAGCAACATTATTCATAACTCCAAACTGGACGTTATCCAAAGTTTCCTCAAGAGTTGAATGAATAAATTGTCATATATTCACATAACAAAATACAACACAGCAGTGATTTTCAATGTGTGTTTTTTTTACTTTTCACCCCGAGGATATGTTTTTATTGATTTTAGAGAGAGAGGAAGGAAGAGAGAGAGAGACATCAATGTGAGAAACACTGATTTGTTGCCTCCAGTACCTGAGATCGAACCCACAACCTAGTTTTGTGCCCTGACTGGGAATCGAACCCATGACCTTTTGGTGCATGTGACAACATTCCAATCAACTGAGCCACCCGCATTTGAAAATGCAGAGTAGTTTGATCTGCCTGAACAAAGGGCTGGTCCATCCAGGGGCTGTTGGGACAATAGGCCCCACTTCTCAAGACTGGGCCTTCGGAAGCATAACCTGCAAGGGTATGTAAGGCCAGCTAGAGAGGCAGTGTCTGAAGATCTGAGCGTAGAGCACTGGATTTTTGTTTTCTGCTTTGTCCTGAGATTTTGTTACCAATAAACACAGATGAATTTACTGTGAAGCTAATGACACTGAAGCTTCAAGGCCCTTTACTTTTGTGAGGCTCTGCTAGAGACCACAGCAAAATGTGTTGCCATGGTCACACATAAATACCTTTTTTAAGTCTGTAAAACTCAGCTCCTCTAATTGCAGATCTAACTGCTCCTTCCACTATAACCTCTCTTCCATTATATTTTCTATCAGGTGGCACTGGAGCGGGGTATTGGCCTTTTTTGGCTAAATGAAAGTTGAGTGGAGATGGATTTACTTTGGGTTTGATGGGATATATCCATAGTCATATATGTCTTTAAGTTACTGTTAGCCATCCTGTGTAGGAATGGCTTCCAGAAATGTTTCTATTGTCTACCATACCAACTGACCTGGCACGGTGACGTAGAGGGCAAGACCAGAGGAGTGTGTGAGCATGGACAGTGGCAGCCGACACAAGGGATCATGGAAAGAAACAAGGCTTCAACTCTACGGAGCCAGATGCTAGTCTGTGGAAAATTCTCTCACATCTTACAACTAATACATAAAAGAAAACTGACAGGGTTCTCAAATTTGACGGCAATCCTAAAAATTTATATGATCTTACCAGTAACAAGTTTGAAGCCTAAATAAACTTCTAAACTATCAGTAATCAATATAAATCATTCACGCTATAAGAAAGCCTAAATGTATCTTTCTATTCTCTCCACAAAATATATTACAAAATCATTGTCATTCAAAGATGCAAAGTATGAAGCCCCCAAAATGTGAAAAAAGTATTACAGAAGATTGAGAAGTAAATTATTTTTATGTATTTTGTTATATTGCTAGTATCTTAACATTCATACTATTGATTTTTCTTAATCTAAGTAATTTTTATATCTAATTTTGAATTTGTAATTTTGTATATTTTTTGTTAAAAAAGGCCCCTAACTTGTTTAAGCTTCAGGTCCAACAAAACCTGGATGGACCCCTGCAGGGCAATTTAAAAAGCATAGTTTTCTACGATACTTTTGTTGCCTGTCACAAACTATGACAGACACCCACTTCGGTGAACCCTGCTATATGTGCTTGTGGTGGAGATGGGCTGGGGCTGGTCGTACACCCCCGCCCCCGAGCCCAACACCCAGGGCGGGGCTCCTGCATCGGGGTGGGTAGCCGGGCCTGGGAGGAAAGGTATGAGTTTCAGAGGCACTGCAGAAATGCGTGGTAGAGAGCCGAGGAAGGGAAGGGAGCGGGGGGCCATGGTGCAGGGGCCGCAGAGGCTGCTTTTGTGGAGACTCTCAGGACCTCCTGATGGGGAGCAGACTGTCGCGGGCTGCCCGGACCGAACCGACCCATGACCGAAAGGTCAAGGGCAGGGACGGTTACCTCTTGGGAGGCCCCTCCCTCTTCTGCCACCTTTCAGCCAATAGAACTCAGGCCCGGGAGTTCGGAACACAGGACTGTCTCAGGAACAGCTGAGGGTAGAACTCAATAGCAGAACACTGGGTACCGGTGAAGGGGTGGGCACTCTGGGCCGCGAGGCCACGGAGAAAGTGCCAAGCACTGCCTTAGTTAAGGCCTCAGAAAAGATCACCACTAACTACCTTTTCATTCCTCTCTGGCCTGTCTGGCTAACAGCCAGATTTTCCCCAATCAGCACCCCATTACTGTGAGACCATGATTGAGATAATTTGTCCCTCTTTACACAGGTTGTGATGACCTTGTGTGGCTTGTTTGTCCCAGCCACAGACCTCTCTGCCATCTTCACTGCCCGCTGCCCGGCAGGCAGGAAGCATCCGCATAATGCTCAAGAGGGAGCCCGGAGTCCTGGGCTCCCTGACCAGACTCCTAATGGCAGAATCTGTATTTCACCCTTCCCTCACTCTTAAAAAAAAAAAAAAAAAGTGCTTTTCTTGTTGGCAAGTTGCAAACACTTAAGATATCTCCTAAATAAGTTTTTAAAATTTGTAAGACTCTTAGAATTGTGCCTACCATATTGCAAGCAAGCTCTATGTAACCATTTGTTAAAATGTTTAAAAAACCCTCTGTATCTTCAAGGATCTAAGTTTGAAAAACCACAGAAACCCGTTAACAACTCACCGGGACTTTACATAGTAGTGCCTGACTCCTAACTGGCTTCTCCTCAAAGCCTCAAGGAAGAAAAGTTTTATGGGGGAACCTAAAAGTTACTAAATGGCCTGGTGACAGTCACTCTGAAAAGGAAGTGAGGGGGCTTGGAGGGAGGGGTGGGAGAGCAAATGCTCCCCCTCAACCCCCCCAACCAAAATACAGTAGGTCTGCTTTCCAGGAAGATTGTTCCTCAGAGCTTCATCACGCTAGCTCATAAGGTGCGGGGGTCTCCTTTCTGTACAGGAGGGAAAGGTGATGGAGCCTAAGGTTAGCTTCACAACACTCCTTTAAGTCATGCATTCCTTACAGACTGAGTCTTGGGTCTTTAAAACCACAGAGGGAGGGCCCTCCAACACTAAATGTGTTCACTCAGTGTTGAAGGTTAACTTTTAAAAGGGGGTCAGAGGATTCATACCAAGGTAAGGCACTATCCACTGCGCTCACGACGACTCACTTCAAATTTAGGATTGAAAACAGCCTGATTTTAACACCGTGGGAAAGCTTACAGAGCGTTTTCAGACTGCTAGACCTGAAAAAGAAAATGCTGTTTGAATACCAGGTCAATCTCCGCTCAGGGCTCCTTCTCCTGTCCGCCTGTACCCCCCAGATCGCCAGAGCACAGGCATGAACCTCAGCAAGCAGGGCAGGAGGAAGCCGCCTTCCCCCTCAGCCCCAGCCCTCCCTGAGGGCCCTCAGGGAACCAACACCCACGGATTCATCCCACAATATGAACCGTGTCCCTCATACGTATCAGGCGCTGCTGAAAATACAGAGGAAAATGTGGGGAACAAAACGCACAAAAATGAAAGCGAGAAAAGAAAGGGGCTGCATTTTCAAACTCGCAGGTTTAAGTTCTGCTGCTTGGTTTCCATCCTGCGGGCCGGTTATTAACAAGATCCTCCAATCACCGAGTGGAAGCACTCTGAGGCTGTGGGTCAGAGTAAGTCGGCACGCAGGATGCTGGAGGAAAGACAAACAGCGAGCCTCCCAGGTCTCCCGGCAGCGGGGGTTTAAAGCTGGGGAAGCCACACCCACGTCCTGGCCACTGGATCCGTTCAAAGGTCTTTAAAAATCAACAGCTGTGGCATTCAAACCAGGGAGACAACTTTAAAGCCCCGGGCTGATCAGCACAGTCCACACAGCCTAACCTGCTCTCTCCCACGCGAAGGTCAAGTCACCCACCGTCACCCGCCCAACTGCCGAAGGAGCGGGGCCGCGTGCCGCGCGCTAACGGGGTGGCTGCCGCCGCCGGGGGAAAAAGGTGCTCACCTCCCCGCTCCTGGGTGGAGAAGGTAAAGGGGCGGTCTGTGCAGGAAACGCACACAAAGGCTTCTTTCACTGTATCACGCCTGGGTCAGCGGTCACCAGGCGCCCACCG